AGCCTGCTTCTGTAATCTAGTACTTCTAAGTTACACGTAGCCTGGTGTTCCTCATGCAGTGATTTATTTGTCCATGCTCTGTATTTCAAAATGATCGTGTTGGCTATGTGCTGCCCGGAACAGCCAGCTGGCATCCCAGGGCTGTTGCCCTGCAACAGGACTGCCTTTGGGGCAACATAATCTGTAGGGAGGTAATGACCCAGGAAGAGGGAAGAAGAAACGTGAAAGAGTGACCACCAGAGCCAACGACAAGTTTTCAGGCCTGGCATTCAGGAAAACTATTTCTGACTTGAGATAAACCAGAGCTAGGGTGGAGGGGGAAGAAGGAAAGCAACGCCCCAGAACAAAATGACCCACCATCTCGTTATATGCATACACTCAGGAAAAGCTGTCCCAGTTGTCAAAGTGTTATGCATTCAGAGCATAAATGACAGCAGCAGGACATCACGAGCTGCGATCTAGCTGAAGATACAAAAATATTTCCCTGAAGTTGCATTGCAGTCGTGTTTATTTTCTTTGTGCCTTTTCACACAAGACAGCGCTGCCTTCCTCTCCGCGCTGCTCCCAGCAGCCTGCAGGGAACGGCCACGCTTACTGATGTCCTTATTTAACACTTCAGTCATTCCACACACTCCTTCACAGAGGATGCCAGGGCTTCGAGACAGGCCCGCCAGCAGGTGCGCTGGGACTCGCCACGCTGTGCAGGAGTACAAACACCAGCTAATTAAATCTATTGTTAAAACAATTTGTTTCTTGCTGGGGCTGACTCGCCTGGAAGCATCTGAACTAGGCAGGTTTCATTTCTGAGGGCAGACTGCCACCTTCACTCGGGAGCTCCTCACCCTCCACACGTTGTTTTAGATTTAAAGCTCAGATCACGAGCAGGGAAGGGAGCTGTACTGGAATCAGAAGAAAATTAAAAATCCCAAGCCAAACTCCAAGCCCTCCCTTAGCACGAGCAGTGCTCAGTGGGAATACCCACCATTCAGTCAGGGACAGTCCAGCCAGCAGCCCAGTATTCAGGGAAACAAAGCAACAAATGCAGTGCAAGGTCTTCTGCAGAAGGATACACCCTGCCACTTGAGCAACCAAGTCTGTGTTCACTCCTCAGCAACCAGCCCTTCTCACTGGGCTGATGATTCAAGCACTTCTTAGGAAGCATTTGAGCATGGATCTTGAGAGCAAATCATGAAAGCAGCTTCTCACAGCTTCCATACCTTGTACACATCTCCGTAGCCATACTCTTTCACTAGCAACTTTCCAACTTTGCATACCATAGACTGTCATGTCCTAACTACAGAGCTCTGCGGCACTTAATTGGGCAAAAATTAATTACAATATGTGCCAGACAAGTAAACCTCCTTCTGAATACATAATGCTCTGCAATGAGGTTCTCCACAGACAGGTAAGTAAATCAGTAGAAGGAAGAGATTTCAGAGGCACTCATTTGGGATAGCTAAACCACAAAACACTTATCTGCTTTTCTAACTTAATTGTATTTGGATTTAACTGCCATAACTCAGTGTGGTAATAAAAGCTTCTAATTTCCCCAGTTTTCTCTTGACCCCCATCACCACGCAGCTCCATTTCCACCAACCCAAGAGGGCCCTGCTGCATTCAGCTCTGCCCAGCAGTTCTTGGGCTCTTCACTTCAAGTCTCACACCCCATTCTGCTCCGATTATATCCAAACTTATTAATGCTCTTTACTATTTTATTCAGCTTATGGTTCGCTCAACTCTTCTGCCCCCTGCAAAGCATTATTTTGCTATGAAACACATTCTGAGATATATCCTCGAAGCAGTTCACGAAAGAAATCAGGGAACAAAATAGTCCCTTAGGAGACTTAGGGAGTGACACCTCCAACCAGGCTCTCCAACACTAAAGAGAAAAAGCTGATGAAAAGCCCTAGGCAGCTGATTTTCCCTAGCTCTCTATTAAGCCAGGCTTACCTCAGTTATGAAAGCGTAAAATCTCAATCTTCACTCCTTCCAAAAGGGATTTTGGTACAGAAACAACAGGAAAACCCCCTACTCCCCAAACTGTGGGATTGGTCCCTTTTGTCTCTCACTTCAATCTCACTGATTGCCTTCAGGCTTGAGATTTGGCAGGTGAAGCCCTGCAATGCCAGCTGCAACAACATGCTTCAGGTCAGCCAATTATCCCTTTCCATCCTTCACCTCCCTTGGCACCTACTGAGGTGCTCAGAAGCTGCCCAAGGGACGGTGATGTGGCCCACTGCCATGCACCAGTTCCCAACTCCTTGCCTCATGTTTTATATCCCCCATATGATTTAAACTCTCATTTGCATGAAGAGATGTTTCTGGCACACTGGGAGTGCCAGGTTCAGGTTTCTCTTTCATGGCTGAGCAAGCTTAGGTAATCAAATGGATGTCCATAGCGTTTTTTGTTTGGCATTCAGTGCATCCTGATGAATTTCTAGATCTCTTGTAGGTCCTGCAACTAACTACACAGATTTGTTGTGTTTGAACAGAAGGATGTGGCACTGTCACTGCTGCCCAGAGGAGCTGTGGATGTTCTCTCCCCGGAGGCACTCAGGGCCAGGTTGGATGGGGCTCTGGGCAGCCTGATCTGCTGGGTGGTAACCAGCCCACGGCAGGGAGATGGAACTGAGTGATCTTGAAGGGCCCTCCAACCAGAGCTGTTCTGTGTTTCTCTAATATGGGTAAGATCTGAGGGCAGAGAGCTGCAAGGATCACATCTGTTGTGAACATCAGATCCCCTCATCTACCAAAGGTGCAAAAAAAAAAAAAAAAATCAGAGCAAGAGTATTTCAAGCAAACACCAATCCCTGAAACATGCAAGGAAGGAAACAAAAACAAACAGCAACCTATCACCAAACGTAACTTTCTACCTGCACCTTGGTTTTTCTCCAGTGCCAGTGCTGCTGTTGCTGCCAGGAAGGAGCTGTGGGCCCATGGCAAACCCCAGGCTGCGGTTGTACATGCATGCACACGGCTTCCGTAAAACACTCAGAGGTGAGGCTTTGCACTTAGCTCCTTTTGCTTCTATTCTTTCGGCTTTTCACGTCCTTTTAATACCAGCACCCAAGATAACTTCACAGTTTGATTCTGCAGAAAAGGATCAAGGGTAGCCACAGCGTCTCAGCTTCCGAGACAGCTTGTGCCTGGTGTGCTTTTCCTGGGATCTGGCCCATTTTTCCAACTGCTCAGACATCACACAGGCCAGAGATCAATTACCTGTGAATAGCTCACTGCACAGAGCTTGGCAAATGGGGGGCAAATGACACTGCTAACAAAATGAGAGCACTTACCAATCACGTAATGTGCTTTACTGGCTACACCCTCTTCAACAAGTGCCTGAACCTGCTGCAAGACAGCCTCTGCTGTCATCCGTCGGCATCGCAGAGAACAAACCCGTGTACCGCCGGCTTAGCCGGCAGTGTACAGGAGGGGGAGCATTTGCTGCAGGATCTGCTGTTTCCCCATTGCCAGCTGGCCTTGCTTTCCCGGCCCCTTGGAGGTACTACACCTCTGGCGCACGGCACAGGGCTTTTTCTCGGTTACCTCATTCTGGGGGTTTCAAAGAGCTTTCCCATCAGCGAGGATCTTACCTGCAAGTTTTGGGACATACCTATGACATGAAATTCCCACTATGCTATAGCTACACAAACATCCTCCCTTCTGTCAGATCTCAGGATGGCATTTTCCTGAGATATACTGCTATCAAGAAAGGAAAGGAAGCCTGGTGTAAGCCTTTTCCTTTGTGAAAAGGCATTGCTTTATTCATTCAGTTATGTTTAGGCACCTCCAATTCCCAACTCCTCTGAGAAGTACAGCTCCAACCCTTGCTGAAGTCACTGTGGTTGTGATTCACAGCCTAGATGGAATTGTCAGGAATCCACCATTCAGAAGGCAGAAATCCCAGCGCAGTTATTGCTGGCCTAAGCAGAAAGAGACCCTTGGCCCCAGATGAATTCTAGCACCAAAACAGTTGTCAGGAAGGTGCCACCTCTACCGCCCTACCACCAACACCTGCCTCTGGGCTGACAGAATAAAATAGGAGGCATTGCTTTTGGAGCAGCCCTCATATATTCAAAAATCAAAAATAGCATTTGGCTTTGTATTCAGAAATACGGACGTTTTGTGGTCTTAGGCTCCTTTTTATAGTGAGAAAGGAAATGCGTGCATCACGGGGAGGCACTGGTCTGTAAGCAGCACTGGCCAGAAGTAGCTATTCTTGTGAATATGAATTGAGGAGTGGTGCAAAGGGAGGAAAGACCATTCCTGCTCTGGGCCCCAGCTTACAGCAAGAGAATGCCTCGTTTTTATCACGTTTATCAATTCTGATTGAAAGAGAGGGAGTGCAGTTCCAGGTTCAAGAAGCTCAAGAGCTGCTCTTTATGAAAGATAAAGCTCCCCATCCATGCCTCACGGAGTCAGAAAGCTGCCTAGAAAACCATTCCCTGCAATGCTGTAATCAAAACCTGAATATTTACATGTGGCCACGTGGCTTGTAGCTAGGGATGGAAAAAATCTCTCTGTGTACTTCTGATTTTAATACAACCAGTATCTTGTAGAAGATAGGCATGGATCCCCACGGTGATTGCTTGTCCCAGAACACTCATGTTTAAACTCTCATCATCAGACAACCCCTATTTCAAAAACTCAAGTGAGGAGCAGAAAAAGGTTAAAAAACCTGTAAAATATTTGGTTGAACTAGAAGATCTTAGAGGTCTTTTCCAACCGTAACAGTTCTGTGATTGAGCAGTGGGTGTTCTCCCCCTGTATGTGCACAGGCATGCAGGGGCACTGAAGAGCCATGGGGACCCACCTCACACTCTTGACATCACACTTTCCCACAACTCTCTACTCCATCACAATGCTGGGTGAGTCCTGACCCCCACTGGGCACCTGTACACAGGAAGGTGAAGATCAACCATTGCCACACATCATGTATTAAGACTTGAAGCCCAGGAGCAAAACACGAGCTTTGCTAAAGCGTATTGTAATCACCCAGCATGCCAAAAATCAGTGCGGGTGAGAAGGCGCTCAATGAGCTGGGCTACAAGCTGGGTCAGACCTTAGGGGAGGGCAGTTTCTCAAAGGTGAAAGCAGCCACCTCTACCAAACACAAAGTCCCCCTGGCCATTAAGGTGGTGGATAGGCGACAAGCCCCCCCAGCCTTCGTGTACAAATTCCTGCCCCGGGAGCTTTCCATTCTACGCAGGATCCGTCACCCCAACATCGTGCACATCTTTGAGCTCATCGAGGTGTGCGATGGGAAGCTCTACATCGTGATGGAGGCGGCAGCCACCGACCTTCTGCAGCTGGTGCAGAAAATGGGCAAGATGCCCTGCGTCCCTGAAGCCCGCGACATCTTCGCACAGATTGTGGGGGCTGTGCGCTACCTGCACGATCGCAATCTGGTGCACAGGGACCTGAAGTGTGAGAACGTGTTGCTGACTGCCGACAGCCGCCGGGCCAAACTCACCGACTTTGGCTTCAGCAAGGAGGTCAACGTCTACCCGGACCTGTGCACCACGTTCTGCGGCTCAGCAGCCTACGCTTCCCCGGAGGTGCTGATGGGTGTCCCGTACGATGGCAAGAAATCCGACATGTGGAGCCTGGGGGTGATGTTTTTTGTCATGGTGACCGGCCGCATGCCCTTCAACGACTCCAACATCCGCAGCCTACCCCAGCAGCAGAAGAAGGGGGTCCTGTACCCAGAGGGAACACCCCCATTGCCAGGGCACTGCCAGGCCCTCATCTCCCAGCTACTGAACTTCAATGCGGAGCGCCGGCCTGGCGCGGGGCAGGTGGCCAAGAACTGCTGGCTGAAAGGAGACATCTGAGGGACAATCCTTGCCGGAGGCCCCAGCGTGGCAGTCACATTTTAGCACAATAAACACTGTAGAAGAAAAGCACATTAGCAGTTTCTCGATCATTTTGGGTGCCAGAATGTGAGTGGGATTGAACTTAAACTGCTGGCGAGACAGTGTGGTGGTCAATAACGTGGTCAGAGAAGGTAGTCAAACCCCTCCACAAAGGAGATAAATGTGCCTGCTGTGGGGTTGGCTTTAAGCCCTGGTGACTGTTGAGTGAAGGGCTAGAGAGCAGCATAAGGCTGCTTATGCCAGAGTTGGCTATTTGGTCACACAGGGGGTCGGGTGCAAGCTCTACCAGCAGCCTTGGTTACCACCAAACTGTGATTGAGCTTTAGATCACACAGAAATGTCCAAAAACCCAAGTTTAGAGTAGAATCCTTGAAGACGACTCAATAGCATTACCAAGCCAAAAGTTTTGGTGTGTCTTCAACCAAAATCTTGCAGATACTGATTCTTGCCAGCATTTGAAATCTCTGCCAAGAAAAAGCTGATGAGAAGGAAATGCAACTGGCAATGGGGAACACTGAAATGGGAAATGGGGAAAGATGTAACAGAGAAGTGCTTTTCTAACACCAGATTTCTAGCTCCCACACAAAGTTACCAATTAATCTGCAATCCCTCCCCATATCCACTGTATAGCCCAGCTGTCAAGCTTTCAGATGGTTAATTAAAGGTAGGAGCTGGCATCTGAAATGCACTTTCATGAGATCTTTCAAGTTGCCTCTCAGCAAGTTCCAAGCAAGCTTCCACTGAAGCTGAAGTCAAAGGGAAACTTTCCTGTTGGGTGGTCCACTAATCCCGGTGTCATTAGTGCCCTGTGAGCTAACATAGCACAGCCCTGACAGGGGACGTCTGAAACAAACAGAGCCCACGGGGTTCTGCTGGAGGAGGAGGAAACATCTTTTGTAACACAAACATTTTGGGTCTATTAAAAGCAGCAGTTTAAGTAGAACAAGATGTGGTGGCAGAGTCAGCCCTGGGCTTTTCAGTATGTGGGCTGCAGTGAATTTTGCCACCACCAGACTGAAGATTTATTTTATTCTCAGCTGCAAAATAAAACTTCATTGCAGCAGCAAAGCCCATCACAGAGTAAGGGACGGGATGGGTGCCCTGAGGCCTGTGGCTGGGGAAACAGGCTTGGAAAGAGGAGCGGGTGATAGGGATGGGAAAGAATAGAGAAATCAAAGGAATGCAGGAAGCATGGATTTCGCAGTGGTGAGACTTTCAGCAAGGCTCTTTTTCCTGCTAGCCCTCATCTCCAACACCTGCCTTGCTTTTCTCTTGCAGTGACTGAAACAGGGCTATTGCCTGCCTCCTTCTGACAGGCACCACCCAGGTGCTGCTGTGCAGCCATTTGAAGATGACAACTCCATGGTTACCAGCCCATTGTTACCTTACACCAAAGCTGCGCCAAAGAGCTCCCCCCTGAAACTAGAGCATGTGAAAACTTCTCTAGCAACGCAGAAAAGTGAATGATATCCTTAGGCCATAAAACTTACCTTTATAAACAGCAAATAATGTCTCCAGGTCTGAGGCACTGCCATCTCATGGGCTTTCCAACGTTTCCACAAGGTGGGCTCAGAGATCTGCTCACGTTGTGACACCTGTGTCTTAGAATCCCTGTGAGCGGCTCTCTGGTGTCTTGAAGAAATTTTACCCCATTTAATCAGTGAACTAACCATTCCAGAGACATCATCCCCATGTTCAGCGCTGCAGTGATTTCCTCCTGGTGCTCTGTGGTTTCAATCCAGCAGCACTTGGCCTGAAACACGGGCTTCATTCCACACAAATGAAAGGAGTGGAGACAGTGGAAGGAGAAAGGGGGCAAGCACATTCATATCTTGAGCCATTTCATTATATCAAGCATAATTAATAACAATAAAAGTAGTTTCACATTGAATAACAGGAAGTTCCCCATGTGCATGATTTTCCATGAATCACGTTTTCGTTTTCACAGCAAACATTAATCTGGGCACCAGGTGGTACATCTTATCCTCTTGTGTGACAGTGAGCAGACTGACTGCCTTACCTCAGCCAAGAGGATTGCATTTCACATTACAGTTCAAAACTTCCCTGGTCTCCAGACTTCAGATCAGATCGTGGATTTGGCTTGAGATGATAAGAAATTGAACAATATTTGATGGCCTGGAAAGACGTGAATTCTCTCTCCGACTGCTTCCAAGTCCATCTCATTTTATCTCATGAATGAATAAAAGGGCATACGCTACTACACAAGCAGATGGCTTTTTCCCAGTGCTGAATAAAGGATTCAGATTTCCTAACTGCACTTAGCACAGCCAGGAGGGCACGCACAGCACAGGACATGGCTGCCTGCAGAGGCCGGGCAGGATCCATCCTCTGGAGCTCCTACCAGCAGACAGTTGTTTGTTTCCAGTGCTGCCATCCCAGGAGCAGCTCCCAGGGCCTTGCTGGGAGGGAGAGCTGCTGCCTGCAATGGCTGGCATTCATCTCCCAGCCTCAGAAGATCTCATCCCTTCAGGGAGAGATGCTGAGGGCACAGCAGAGACCTCCTGGGGAGCCAGGCAATCTGTAGGTGGCAGCACTGAGAGCGGACACTATGGTTTACCTCCTTCATTTCCTAGCATCGAGAAGTATTTCTGGGCAGCACAGCTCGCGTTGCGCTCTACAACAAGAGCAAGCCCTGCTAACACATAGGAAAGTAATTAAATGCCTCTTAGCAAGGCAGTTAAACAGCAGTAATGAGACAAGGTCAACAACAGCGTCATCAGAGCCAGCATGGGAGCTGACAGCCCACAGAGCCCCGTGCTTCCTCACAGGAGTGTCTTTCCAAGGGGTCAGATCCCACCAGATGCTCTCAGTCCTGCTAAACGATTTTAAAGCAGATAGCAGCTCCTCCGTGTGGTCACTTTGCCTGTCCTCCGTGTCCCACGTTGACCCTCTCAAAGCACAGCTGGCATCGCTGCTTTGTCGGTCGTGCACTGCACAGCACTCTCAGATCTGCATGCTCTCCAGAGGGGAACAAACACGCCATTCCCATTACAACCTTAATTAAAAATACGGCTTGAGGGCTCGCTGCAGCTGACTTAGCTTTAGCTTGAACTCTGGCATTGGAATGGGAGGGGAGGAAAGGAGAGGGAGAGGTGAGGGAGAGGTTTATGCAGCTCACTAGCACTGGAGATGGTGAGCAAACAGCCTCACTCGGGAGACACCGGGCAACGCTCACTAATTACAAGCAAAATATATGCGTTGCTGTCTCAAATACAGTGATAGTCCTTGGCTCCTCATTTGCATGTTTGTTAGCTTATTAATAGGATACCTGTCTTGGAACACCTAAAACACACCATCATGCACGTCTGCAGCAGGTCATTTATGAGAACAAGTTGCCTCTCTTTCTATCTCACATGCTTCTCCCCTGTCCAGAGAATGGTTCAAACCGCACCATCCAGGGCAAACTGTAATTGATGAATAAATCTTGGAAAAACAATTTTGCTTTCTGCACATTATGCAGACAATTAACTTTCCTGACATTGAGAGCCACATTTATTTACAAGCGACGGACCCAGAGAATTGCTGGAGGAAGGACCCATGGGACGGTTGGACCTACTGGAAACCCACAAAGAAATACATATGTATTTACATTATTCATATGGTTAGTGAGAGATATTTCTCTGCTTCTTCCTGCTCCAGAACCTGGAAGGAAGCAGTGCCACGAGTGCAGAGCTGGGCTGGGTGCTGCTGCTGTGCTCCTCATCTTTTTCCTTGCAGGAGCACATAGAGGTGACTGCAGCCGTTCCCCTCACACCACACATTCCATTTTATCTTTACAGAAGAAAAAGGAACATCAGTTGCTATCTTTCAGTAGATGCTATTGCAGGCAGCGCCTGGCAGGAAGGCTCTTGTGGAGACAACTGCACTGGTGGTTTGGAATGGAGAGCCACCCTGTCAGCAGATTGAATCTATTACAAATGCTATCCTCAAGACGTCATGCGGGATCCAAATTTCAGACCTGCAACTCAGCACATATTTTATCTGCAACACTCATAAAACACCCGCGTTCTCAATTGCACTCTGCTCCGTCTCTTTGGTTTTATTCTACCCTCAAATTTGCTGCATGCCCCAGATTGCAAAGAGGAGAGCACAGCAGTGCGTCAGATGCTCGGCGAGTCAGCACCACAGCCCTACAGAATACATGGTGCCAAGCTGCAATTTCATGCCAAAATAAGGCACAAACTGTAATTGTTGTCAAAGAAACACAAACTAAAAGCACGCAAAAGGTAGTTCTAGTCATGGGGATACTTTTCCAACAGTAGGTGAATGGACACCACCTTGGTTCTATCACTTACGTGCCTTGAGAGCTTGCTCTCCTCACAGATAAATGCAAATCTCTTCCACAGAGACAAACCCACAACGGCCAGGAACAGCGGGGAACAAAGCATAAGGTCAGCGCATGGGGAGACTCCATCAATGGGCCATCCATCCAGCTGCCACATGGGAGCAGGGGCCGGAAACGTTCCTCGGAGCTGGTAGGAGAAGGACGGACTGTCATAAAAAAGCCCAGGGAGCCATGGAAGGCTGAAGAACAAAAAAACAGCACATTGTGTCCAAAGCAAGTTCAACAATTTTCCCAGCTCGCTGAATTGTGGGAACTTTTGCTTTTCCAGGGAATAACTATGCTATTTTTAGCTTTTTTATTATACAATTTGTCACAGGCTGTCTCAGGAGGCTATCAACAATCGGTTTCAAACAGATCTGACCACAAACACTTCTCCACATGTGATTTAGAACATCTGGACCCGCAGAGGCAGCTTTCAACGCATGCCAGCAGCGCGTTTCTTCTTGCTTCCATCCTCGCATCCGTTGTCCAAGCGCACGTAGGAAGCAGATTCAGACTCAAAAGCTACAGCCATACCTCTACGCTTTGCACTTACTTGGAGGAGCTGGGAGAAGAGATGTCGTGCCGCTGGAAGCAGAGCACAGTGCATTGC